TGTGTGTGTGTGTTTGTGTGTATGTATGTGTGTGTGTGTGTGTATATATATATATATATATATATATATATATATATATATATATATATATATATATAATACTATGCTATCATTTCAAGTCCATATTGCCCATCCAATATTTGTTTTGAATTAATTGCAAAAAACAATAAAAGACATTCAGTTCAGATGTTGTATTTTCTTGAATATCTCATATAAAGCCTTTAAAAAAATGTTGTGACGGTGATAGAACTGAAGTCATTCAGCAGAGTAATATGGAACAGTAATATGGTCAAGACCTATCTGGACCTATTTTAGCTGTGAGATCATCAGAAAATAACTGCAAACCTTGAAATGTTTACCCACCAACTAGATGCAAGCATTCAATAGTCATGTCGTAAAAATAGGAATTATTAGCTGATTTGAAAAACACAAAGTTTATCATGCACGTAATGCAGGTCATAGGAAATACAAAGGCTTCATTATTTAAATCTAGCAAAAAAAAAAAAAAAAATAGCAAGAAATTATTCTTGAGAACACAATTTAATATTTTAAATATATCATGTGTTTATATGTTTAGGCTTATTTTATAATTTATTGTTGTTGTTATAGCACTAATCAATTATTGCAAATATAAAATTGATATATTACTCTATTTATTACTTCACACTTTTTTAAATGAGGGTTAGTGGAAAAAGTGCACATAGGAGGGTTATTTTTGACACTGACAAATGTGCATGTGTGTTTTTGATTCAGATGGAGGTGTGAAGACACAACACTCGGTCAGTCCTGTGGTTGGAAAATTGTCAAACTTGCAAAGCGTGCGCCGGTACAAGCAAACAATTTCTTGAAAAATATTTTTGCACAGAAGGGTCAATAATTCTGACTTTAACTGTATCTCCATATAACTTAATATAAACTTTAAATATTTTTGATTTTCTTGAGATTTGTTGCGATTATGTCAGTGCTAAAGTGAATTGTTTCTCCGCTGATGTTCACCACATCAGTTCTCAGTCTGTATTGAGCATTGTCTTCCTGTCAGCTACTCTACAGGAAATGATGTCATACACTGAGGTCTCTAACTGGAGCTCTGCTTATCACGTTTTTTCCTTTTATAGACAGAAGATAAGTTTAAGCTTGACTCTGGGATTTGTGGTAGTAGACTAGCAGGTTTTTTTTATCAGTCTAAAAATCAAGTCATGAGGTTTTGCTTTTTGTTCATCTATTATCAGTTTGACGATGCATGTGCTTGTGGACGTTTGTGGTAAACATGTGGCTCAAATGACTTCAAAAGTAAGGGCCTCTGATGTGGTGCAATGGCTTTAAACGCTCATGTTATATACATTGAACCTCCAGTGCTATGCAGAATAATAGCTCGTTTTTTAAACTGACCTTTGATTTTTTAACAAACAAAAGATTTGACATTATATAATTGGTCACATTTAATAGTAAGATTCTGTCAGCTAATGTTAGTTAATGTATTTATTAACATGAATCAAAAATAAGTAGACGTGTACAGCATTTATTTATCACAATTAAAAATCCTGGGTTATGCGGTGTGTTAAAAATGAAAGCCTTTTTTAATTTTTATTATATATTAACTTTAACAACGATGAATAAAAACTGTAATAAGTGCATCATTCATTGTTTATTCATGTCATGTAATAAATACGTTGTATAACTTTGTTACCATTTAATATCTCTGAATCCAAAAATAGACTTACACTTTTCAGAAATTAGACATCTATTCAAAATATTAGTTTTGGTAACACTTTATTTTGATGGTTTATTTGAGTATTAGTAGACTGTCTGCTAATGCTATCTACTGATTCTACTCCTTCAACAGACATTTAACTGAAATTTTGCTAGTACATGTCAAATTACACTAACCCTAACCCCAACCTAAAGGGCACCACACACCGGATGCGCCGCGACACGGCACGCACATGACAGTTGAAAGTATCGCACTCCAGATGTGCACAATCGTATGCTATTTAAAATGAAACTAATCAGACAGTGCTCTGTGGCGAGGCAGAAATATGAACAGCGTCCTGAGTCTGGCTGACTTGCGGCGCCGGTGTGTGTACCCTGATAGAAAACCTATGTTTAGAATTTTAAAATACATGGCGCTACACGGTGCGGCGTTTCTGGTGTGTGACCCCCAAGAGTCTACTTACACTCTAATGGTAATTAGTTGGCATGTAGATGCAATCTAACTTAAAATAAAGTGTGACCTCAGTTTTTTCTCCAAAAATAACTTGAAAATATAGTATTATGTTCTGTATTTAATTCTGTATTTTTACAGGTGCTTTATATAAATTTTAAAGGGGGCCTACTTTGCCCCTTCTACAAGACACAAACGGGTTCTCTGTTGTCCCTAGAGTGTGTATGTGAAGATGTAGCCAAAATAACCAACAAATATTTTTGTACAACTCTTTGAAACTGCCTCTTTGAGGCTGTGATCCAAATTGTGCCATTTTGGTGACAGTCGCTTTAAATGTGAGAAAAAAAGAGGGTGGAGCTGCAAAAATCTATAGGTCCTATCATATACCCGGCGCAATAAGACGCAATACCTGTATGGTGCAATCTGTTGCTTTTTTTTAGACCAGCGCAAACCTAATTTTCATGTTTTGCGCCACATTGTTTAAATGGCAAATACATTTGCACCACGCTGTGAACTCATGGGTGTGACGGTCAAACTAAACAAATGAAATAACAAAGGGAATTACATATGAAGACTAATGGTTGTCTTCAGTGAAGTGTGAAAAACACCATTTTCTTATCCACTAAAGTAAAGGAGTTAAGAGTAAAAATAAAGAGAAAGTAAAAAAGAGGCCGAATGGAGGAGGCTTGTTCTTTATCCTCACGCAGATAGTGTGTTTAAATGTTTTTTCCACTTACATATTCCATGTAAATAGCAAATGTGCCATGGCGTGACGCAACTGACTCTTAAAGGGAATGCGAGATGAGACTCCGATTGGTTTAATGCAGGTGATCATCAAAACATACCCATAACTCATTAAGAGAATAAGCACAACCCTGTTAGCATTTTCCATTTTTAAAATAGCTAGTGTATTCGGACAGGCCCTTAATGCTTTTGCGCCATGTGCTTCAGACTTTGCGCCTAGATTGTTAAAACAAAGCTCCATGTGTCAGCATAGTGGCATATTCGATACAGGACTAATATCGTCATTAATGGGTGAAACTTGCACCCTCTGATGACATTTCCCCCTCTGTTTCTGAAGACTGAAAAAAAATAATAAATTATACATTTTTGTCTATTAGAGGTTGGTTATATTCACATGTCTTTGCCACACAACTGTGTTTAAACACCTTATAAAAGTGATTTTTGCATTATAGGTGTCCTAATTTTATTATTATTTTACTGCAGTATCCGAATACCAAATTCCACACATTATTTGAAAAACAGCTTACATGCTTTTTAGATTGTCAGTGTTTTATTATTCATTTATCGACTGGTAAATTTCCCATAACAACATACCTTTGTAGTTAAAAACATACTAACAAGCAGTTTTTTTCCAACCACAACACTGACCTCTATCCCACCTACTCTTTACTTCAACTCAACTTAACCCAATTTCCGAAGAGTAACCCATTTTCAGAAGAGATCACATTCGATGCTTTTACCATCAAAGGCTGCTGCTAGTGACTTAAGGTAAAGTGCATAGCTGGATGGAAATTAATTATTAATTAAATAGTTTTATTTTTTTAATTGTCAGTGCATTTAAATTTGACACATTAAGGCCATTATAACACATCTTTATTTATATGCAATTTATATGCATTTGATTGTAATTTTAGTGTTTGTGTGGAATCATGTAGATACAGTTTGCTGTCCTTCAGCATAGGGAAGTGTGTATAAAGGCAGACCTCTTTACGCTTCTCTCTTTCAGTCTCAGTATCAAGGAGGAACATGTCAGATGGTTTGAGGGGTCACAAACCTGTGATGGAAAACTGTAAGTCATTTCGGTTAGTGTCTTTACTATTTCTTTGTTGATTTATACATTTTTTCTGCTCAGTTTCAGCAACAAGACTTACATTTCAGCATATAATATAAATATTTTAATGTTAGTGAATTACAACAATGGGATAAAGCTAAAGTGGATGTTCTGGAGTTTAGTAACAATTCCATACCGTCTTGGTATGTGTTTGATTAAATGTATTTATTATTATTATTATTATTACTATTATTAATAGCTTTTCTCCCCAAGTAGTGCTGGTTTTCAGCAGCTGCTTAATATTTGAGCAGATTTTGGGCAGAGATACGATGTGCAATATAATTTAAAAAAAAGAGTGTTTACATGACGTGTAGAACCAAAGAACATAGAGATATGATTTTTACAGATTTCTTTTTGTCAGGGCAAGTTTTAAATGTTGGTAAGACTGTTAAATATTTAGGGCATGTCATTACTGAAGACATGAGTGATGATAATGATATGTACAGGGGACGTCAAAGTTATATGCTCAAGCAAATATGCTGATGAGAAAGTTTTATTTGTGTTCTGAACAGGTTAAAGTAAACCTCTTTAGAACTTATTGCAGTTCTTTATACACAGCTTCTGTGGTATCATTTTTAAAAAGAGAGTCTCCATTTACTGCAGGTTGCATACAATGATTGCATGAGGATGCTAAAAACATAGATGGTGTAGTGCAGGTGCATTATTCTGTAAATTAAGAGTTTGGTCATTTTTTTGCTTTGATGAGAAATGTGTTCTATAAGTTTATCTGTCGATTGGAGAATTCTCAGAGTAGCACCTTAATGTTGTTGATAAATCCTTACTGAGGTGCGTTTTCAGCCAATTTTGATGAAATATTGGCTTAACTGGTGTTTTTTTAAGGTATATTGTGTGGTTTGTATTGTTTTTGTCAGTCTTTCGTACTATTGGACCTAGCGTCTGGAATAAAGAAAATAAATATTATCATTGGTATTATTATTATTATTAACAATAATTTGAATGTTTTTTCTCTCTTTCTCATATAGAGATTTTAATTTCAACTTGTTTGTCGACAATCCTTAAAATGATTCATTTTTTGATTCTAACACTTACATTTTTACAGTGTAAGTAACTGTTTTACTTTTTCTTTCTTTAAATGTCTTTAAAAATGTTTTAAACTCACTTTAAGGCAAATATAATGTATATTTCAAGTAAATTTTTATGACCCATTCTGTTTCATATTGATTTCATTAAGGCGACTCTAAGACAAACTGAAAAGCTGGCTCTAATGTGTTTATATTGTACTTGGTGAAGAAACCAAATCTACCACAGACAATACTAACTTTTGTTTATTTCAATTTTAGGCAGCTCAGAAACTACAGACATTAAGAATTATCTAAAGATTGTTCAAGCTGGAGACACGGTTAACTTCACGTGTAGTTTATTTAATGAAATAAGAAACAGTGTGGTCTGGATCAAACAAAGTGTTGGAAAGAAACCTCTTCCCGTCGTTTCATCATTTCAAAATGTAGATCACAAATTTGACAATGACTTTGACAAACAAAAACGCTTTTTTGTAACAAAAGATGATGTCAGTTTTAATCTGAGCATCACAAACACAGAAGTGTCTGACTCTGCAACTTACTATTGTATAACATATGCATATCATTTCACATTTGGAAACAGCACTGACCTCATAGTTAAAGGTAAGCAGATTATTTACTTACTCTTCTAAATTGCATTAATTAGCAATATACCGTCATTATTTCTTTTATTTTCAGCTGGTGAACTGAACATCAAGTCTGATCATCAGAGATCAGCATCAGAGGATCAGCAGTGCAGCGTTATCTCTCAGAGCTGTGCAGAAGAACACAAGGTCTACTGGTTCAGACAGCGCTCTGGAGAATCTCCTCCAGGAGTGATCTACACTCAGGACAGCAGGAGCGCTCAGTGTGAGAAGAGCTCTGATCTAAACTCCACTGCACACAAATGCATCTACAGCCTGCCCAAGACTGATGAAGATCCTGCCATCTACTACTGCGCTGTGGCCGCTTGTGGACAAATACTGTTCGGAGATGGGAAGAAAGCTGGATTGAAAGGTGCACATTTACATTTGTTCCATTATTTCCTGTAACGCCAATATTTTATTTTAATAATATAGCCTATATTTTTCCATTGCTACAGATGAATGTTTTCAGACACATTGGATTACAGCTTTACTGATCATAACAGCTTCATCTATGATTGTGAATATCATTTTAAGTGTACAATTGCACAAGTACAGGCAAAAAGGTGGGTATTATTTCATCTCTTTATTATCTATGCTATGTTAACATCTCCCATTTAAATTTAAATAGAGCGTTCGATTTCTAGCTGTAATATGTAAACTCATTCTCTCTTCAAGATCGGTTTTACAACACTCAGAGCCATCAGTTATCGGTGAGCAATCTAAACACTTTTTTGCTGTTAGATTATTTTCTCCATATTTAGAAGATTAATCCACAATATAAAATGTACCCACTATTTACTCTTAATCAAGTGGTTCCAAACCTTTATGTTTTATTCTTCTGATGAACACAAGAAATATTTTGAAGAATGCTGTAAACCAGTGACTTCTATAGAATGAAACACAAATACTATGGATGTCAATGATTACATGTTTACAACATTATTCACAGCAACTTATTTTTCAGAAACCATTGAATTCCGTCGTTGGGCAAACAATTGCTACAGTATGTAAGCCAGTGATTACAGGTTTTAAACATTTTCAAAATAAATTATTTTGTGTTTAACAGAAGAATGAAACCCAAACTGGCTTGTGATGAGTGAAGAGATTCACTTATCACAGAATGTTCAGTTTTGTGTGAACAATCTCTTGAAATGTTTTCAAAATGCTTCAGGAAAAAAAAACAAAACAAAAAAAACAGTATGTTCAAATTCTTTAAAGTCCAATAACTGAGGAATGTAATTAAACATTACATTATACTGTGATATCTATCTTTTTTAAACCTGAATTATGTTTGAACTTCCAGTTTGTGGAACTTTCACCCAAAGGAACTGAAACTAATACTTTTTAAATATTTTTTTAAATATATTCCCATAACGTAAACTGATTGAGTAATGCATTTTCATTGTGCTAAATTTTATATGAAAATAATGTAACTTTTGGTTGACAGTTCTACTGAAATTGCTCCAACACTATCAAAAAAGCATCAAAAAGCTGTACAATATATATAGGCAGTATAAAAAACAAGAGATGTTCTCAGATCAGCATATTCTGCATCCAGTCCAGATTTCAGTCACATACGTTATATATAGTATTTAACTCTAGTAGCTTTATGAGCAATATCACACGAGTAGCAGTGCGATATGGCTGTATATCAGCACTGTTGGGAGGTGCGCATTGGCACAAGGTCATAGGCTGAGTGCCTTAGCGTCCCACCAGTGCTGATTTGCAGCCATATCGCACTGCTACAAGTGTGATATTGCGTTTATACAACAGTGCAACAGCACAATCCTGTATATAAATAAGAAAAATGAAACACAGAGTCTAAAAAACCTTTTTTATTAGGAACTACTTTCTTTCGCCATTCATTCACATCTGCAGCTGACGTCAAAACAGCAGAAGCCGTTACTAATTCACCAGCGTCACTTTAGAGCTAGTGTTTTAATAACTCTGTCATAAAGTCACTCTGTCACTCATAAAGTGATGACAAAACTGCTGATTTTGCTTACACTTTAAGATTATAAGACTGAACATGACATGAAATGCCATCCATCTACAGAGATATCTTCTTACAGTGTTACAGTCTACAGTATTTCTCTGTTGCAATCGGGATTTCACAATAAATAACCCCGAAAATAACAGCATATTCACTAACATTACCAGACTGCTGTTGTGTTTGCGATAAGGAAAATGCTAAACATGTGCGGACTGTGCTTATTTGAATCTGCCATCACAACACACAATCATAATATGCGAGCAAATAGGTATAAATACAGCACTACAACATACAAAAGAGAGATCATCTAATCTGCCAACATGTCTCTAAAAACCAAAGAGACCAGGGAGGAGGGGGTGTTCTGGGGTGAGGTTGAGAACAGGATGCAGCGGGTTTTGGGCGGCCGCTTTGATCGGGTACTGTACCAAAGTTGGCAACCCGGGGGTGTTTAGTTTACAGACTGTACTAAAGAGGGGGTTGGGTAAAATTACGGGAGTTTTTTTTAGAAAGAAATAGAAACAGATGTTTGCTGGAAACTGGTCTGAAATATGTGATACTCCCATGAAAAACGGAAGTGTTGGCAGGTGTGCTTACAAGTTTAGTATAGATTTGATCTGCTATAGTTAGAAATCAGACTGTAATATCGTCTAAGCGTAAGGGCTTACTATGGGGTTCTGTCGCCATCTTGTGGATTGAAAACGTCAACTGTCGCCGACGAGCTGTCTCTCAGAAATGGTAAATATTTTAAAATAGGCATTATTCTTGTAAATAAACTGCATAGTTGCAATCTAAACAACTACATTCTCGACTAAAAAAGCCTCAAAAGTATATTTTGCTGTCTAACAGCAGTGATATGTCAAACTGTAGTGTCTGCTTGTTGCTGGCTGTATGTGGGTGGAGTAATACACAAAGGGTAAAAAGGCTGTACGGATGCTGATATTACTTAAATATATATCACGGCTACCAGCCAATCAGATTCAAGATCCAGATAGAACTGTCATATAAAAATACATACATGCATACTGTACATACACTGAAAAAAATGACTCATTGTATTTACAAAAATATTTTTAGATAAGTAGCTGCAAACAATTTATATGAGCTGAATTTAAACAAATTAAATTGAGTAATGTTGAACTTAATTTGTTTAAATGTATGCAGAGAGCCTGCTTTTTGCAGGTTTGTTTCACACCTTTAATTTAGAAGCAGGGTTATGAAACCCACACTGCAGTGGCAACAGTGTTACGACATGATTCTTAAGAAGAAAGCCAATCTTGTAACGTGTTTTGAACAGTTTTAAAAACACTGCATGTTGTACTGTATAATTGTTTTAAGAAAAATATCAAGCGGTTATGAAAAACACTTTTTGCTCTTTTAATAATTATGACAAGAATGCCTACAGCCATTAATCATTATGTGATTAATTATCAATGACACTAACACCACAAATATGCAAACAATAATTTTGAAAGGTAATACTTATAAGCCACAAAAATACTTTTGGGATAAATTATAATCTGCGGAAAACATAAAAAAAATAGCCCAGGATTACTTTTACATGAGGTTTACTCTAGGTATAAGGCAGGGTTAAGTATTACGGAGTGAAAAGCCTTTATGAATACAACCCCTATATAGAATACAGATATATATGTTATTGTTTTTGTTTGGGTGAATGTAGCAATATTAATTTCTGTTCTGTGTCAGGTGGATCACGCTGATGGTTTGAATTATGCTGCTTTGAGCTTCCAACAAAATCCCTCCACGTCTAGAAAATCATCGGAAAGAAACCTACAAGACACTGCTATGTATGCACATACAAGGCGCCAACAAATGTAGCATAAATTGTCTGGGTTTGCTTATATAGACACTCTTTGTGTTTAAACTAATTTGCAGGTGACATCGCAATAACTTGTTTTAAAAACCTCTGTCCGTGGTACTGAAATAACAATGTTCAGAATTATTTTTGGAAAGTATGACTTCATTAATACTGACAAATTATTTAATTAATGACACAAATTATTAATAAACTGCTTATGTATGTACAAACTCACACAAGCACTTGCAGTTTTCTATATGTAATACAATGATTGATTCAATATTGAATTGCAATTGTATTGCTTTTCTTAACACATGCGGATGTAGGATGTGGTTCAACTTTTAATTTTACACATTGTTTATGCCATGCTGTAAGTAAAGCATTTATTTATTTAAATGCTTTAATGTATTTTTAAAACTATATTGTAATTGTGTTATTTGCAAAGAAAAATAAGGCCCAAAATTGATGTGGAGGCCAATGTACACTTAACCATTCTGGTAAATTGTAATTAGACAATGTTTCACTTTGTTATAATTAGGGCTGTATGATACAAGTAAAATTTAACAGTGCGATATTTTATTTTGCAGCAATTTATATTGCGATATGAATACAATTTCAGCAGACGAGTTGAATAGCTCTATTTGGAGTGAAATCATTAACTTTGAATCTTGTAGAGGAGGGAATCAATAAATTGCAAGTATAAATAAATAATAGTGAAATAAGTAGTGAGATATTCAGGTACAGTAATACAATACAATTTTATCATGATATTTTGCCAACAATATTGATAGATCACAATATCAGCGATATATCACAAGAAAATAAATCATATGTATATATTAAAAATATATCATATTGGTAAAATGAAGAGGGAAAAATGCATCAAAAAGTTAAAAGATGTATTTCTTTTATTAAAAGCACATATATTTCTTAGAATTGCAACAATGATATATATTTAATCCGCCATTACGACCTCATGTATATTGTTATTTTGTCCTGCTTATGTTGAATAATAATGTAAACATAAAATGTAAACACTGCACATTCTTCATTTCTGATCAACAATAATTCCAACTCCACATTGCAGATGCTGTGATGTAACTATTGCAAATGCATGCATTGCAATATCAATGCTGAAACGATACACATAATGTGCAGCCCAAGTTATAATTGTTCAATGTCAGATATTTTTTTATATCATAATAATAATCAGAAGTGATTATTCTCCATGTTATTACTAGACTGTGCAAAATTAGAAAGTTTATTAAATATAGAAATGGCTGACAATTAGTAAGACACTTGAAAGTTATGGAAAGTGAAATGTATAGAGAATAAATAAAGCAGGCAAACTGGAAAAAAAATATTTTTTTTTAAATACAAATGATATCCTCTGGTGTAAAAATATCATAAAAATTATCATGGAGGCATACAAATATATGCTGTAAAAATATCCTGAATGATCAGTTTTCCGTATTTTGTGGTTTGTTTTTTTTCTCCCCATCTTTATTTATGCTTTTGAATTGCATTATGTGACCTTGATCTTTACTCCAACAACTTGGCCTTCATTGGCTCCTAGTTGCATAGCGCATTAAATTCAAAATTCTCCTCCTTGCATTTAGATCCTTAAAAGGCCTAGCTCCCTCTTATATTTGCAAGATGCCTTTCCCTATACCCCTACTTGCTTATTACGTTCCTCTGACTCTGGCCTTCTTGCTGTCCCTCGGTACCGCCTCTCTTCAGATCATTTAGTGTTATTGCACCCAAACCTTGGAACTCTTTACCACGTTCACTCTGTTCCGTTAATAATATCTCAGAATTTAAAACTGTACTCAAAACTCACTTGTTTGCTACACTTCTGATTTGATAAACTGGCCACTTTGTTTGATCAACCTGTACTCTGCATATTTGTCTCTCAGGTCTTGTTTTGTATTTCCAGCTTGTTATATTTGACTTCCTGTATGTTTGTGTCTCTACTTGATTACTGTTTCTTTTAATGTCTGTTCGTACTATCTTTTTTTTGTTACAATCTTTGTAAAGTGTCCTTAAGCTCTGGAAAGGCACTATATAAATAAAATATATTATTATTATTATTGTTTTTAATAGTTCAAAGTGATATATTGTCTGGGTTGGTGTTGTATATTATGGTGCAAAAATCTTGTAATAAACTGCTGGTACATTTTTATTTTACAAACTTATTTCTCTATATATTATTTCAAACTACTAAAATGTCAATAAAAACTGTAGAGTTGAATTTTCAACATTTAAAGTCAACAGAGCAAAGATCAATGTTGTGCAATGCTATTCACAACTGTAAAAAAAATGGGTAAAACTTGTGAATTTTACAGTGTAGGCTGTAAGGCCGGCTGTGAGGTTGCCATCATCATGAATATCCAGACCAATGGCTTCTGGCTCTGAATGAAAAAAAAGTATATACAATAAACAGCTTACAATAATAAATGTTGCTAGTTTTATAACTGCTTATTGCTTGTGTTGCTTTCAGATCAGAGTGATAAATATTATGTTTTCAAAACAGGATTTGCTGAATCACAAGCACAGGAACAACTCAGCAAGATTGGCCTGTCAGGCAGCTCATGTGAACTGTAATATATTTTTAGTAGTTTTCCAACCACAGGACAGGCCAAGTCGTGCTTATCTTAACACCCACACTCATTACCGCCCACAAACACCACCCCAAGCAGATTGTTTTTTCCACTTCATGCATCACTTTTTGTTCAATTTCTGAGCACTACATTATAGAGCAAGTGTGCACATAGTTTAAATGGCATGTTGATGTACAGTAATAACAGCTCAATTTAGCATGCATTTAACAAATGCTTTAGTATATGCAGAAAATAAACCCCTATAGAAATGTTATTGCTAGTAAATTTCAGTTCAAATGGAACAGCAAATAACACACTGAATGACACATGAAATTGAGGTACATTATAAAAACAATTATTGCTAACCTACTTTTAATTAAATTGAATTAAATAAACATTTCCAGTCATCACAACTTACTTCAATCAAACTGACCAAACATATCAAGTTAGGCTTTGTATAACTTTTACATTTTAGTTAAAAACTTATTAAAATAATTTAAAGCACTATACAAATATCTGTTTTCTTGATTTTACTCATTAAGTTACGGTGCATACTGTAAAAAATGTTTTTTTATATTCTCTATTAACCTTTAACTGCCTGTTCTACCAAACGATTGACTGTGTTTTTACGGTTTTAATAAATGTTATAGTCATTTAAAGAATGACTGTTTTAAATAATGGTTTACACACAACATTTTTGGTTTACACACAAATCAAACTACACTTGATTTTGGTTTTATTATAAAAAAAGAAAGAAAAAAAAAGAAAGTGTTAAATGAGAATCTGAAATATTTTATGGCATACTTTAAAAAATAAAGATGTATTAGTATTTAGTGTTCCAATATGATTTATTTTGATTGTTTTTAAATAAAGTGGTCTTATATTTCATATTTTAGGATTTTTGTAGTATATTTAGTAATTATAGTAATTCCGGTACTTTATCATAAACCAACATAACTATTTGGTGGAAGTTGATATTTTAGAAATTATGGGATGTGTTGGGAAAAAATGCATTGAGTGTGTTAACTAGCAACATTAGGAGTTAAGAAATGCAATCCAACTTTTTTTTCTTAGTGGGGCAGTTAAAGGGTTAATATTTACAGTTGAAGTCAGAATTATTAGCCCCCCCTGAATTATTGGCCCCCCAGTTTATTCCCGTTTTATTCCCCCTAAACTTTTTCCTTTTTTTTGTTTTGTTTTACAAATGACAAAAAGCAAAGTGGCAAAATAATAATGCGTTTATTTGATTTAGTCATAACTTATTATTTGCTTCATAAATGAGAGACCACATCAATTATATACATTGATTGAATTATAATTCAAAACATGATATTATACTGATAAAAATAGGCAGGCACAGATAAAACATTGATCACAGGTTCAAAGACTTTTGCACTTCAACCAGCTTCAGTTTTGGCCATGAATTTCTGCTGTTGCACAATAGCTGTGAAGAATCCTTTACTGTGGTCAAAATGTGAAAACAGGAAGGAAGAAAACATGTTCACGCCAAGCTGCTATTTGAAAAACTTTCCATATGACACCTTACCGAAATACAGTATTCATAAACATTACACAAACAAATATAAAGGTCACACACAAACATCTAACCACACATACATGCACACAACATACAGTGTGGATGTTACGCTACACATTTAAAACAAACAAAAAATACTTTAAACTGTTGATATATTCATTTGTCAATAAACGGTTCATATATTTATGTAAAAAGTGTGAGTCAAGTGTAAACTTTAGATTTGAATGTTTTGAATGCTCCACTAACATTAATGTGAATCAACCAATGGAATGGTGTAAATGTGCTTTTCTTTAGTACAGGGAAGTACAGTACTGTATATATAAGTGAGCGTCTCTGTGTCTTTCTCTTTTGGACTATGTTGAAAGGAAGACGAAACCTCATGGCTTCCACACCAAAACCAGCCTTGATCTTTAATGACGTCTGTAAGTAAAGCTTTCAGACTTTCTTCACACAATTATTAACTTTATATTATTAACAAATTATTAACCTAAATGATTAACATTATTAATAATTAATTTTGATTTAGCTGTTTAAAGCTATGTATCCAAGAGTGCAAATGTGCATTATAAAAACAAGGGTCACACTTTACAAAAGGGTTTCATTAGTTAATATATTGTGAATCAAGTACGATTGATACAGCATTTATTAATCATAGTTCAACATTTACTAATGCATTAATACAATGCAAATCAATGCTTGATAACGTGTTAATGCACTGTGAGTTATCATGAACTAACATCAAAAACTGTATTTTCATAAACTAAGGTTAACTAGCATGAATACATACTGTAATTTAATGAATAATATGATTTGTTCATTGTTTGTTCGTTATCCAACATTAACTAATACATAGTTATTGTAAAGTGTAATCAAAACAAGTAGTCATAGATTAAAATTTTATTAAGCTAAAATTGATATTTAATTCATTTGTCTTTACAAGTGAACTAACCAAATCTAGCCTGGGGATTAATTGTGGACTGTTTCATTTAGGCTTCTTAAATGTTTCATTGTTTATATATACACTTTTAAGATACGATTCTTTTCTTTCTAGATGATTCACCCTAAGCAGTTCTGAATCAGCTGATTTTTATCAATCTTTTAAAATGATTCATTGTTTTTTCATCTTATTGCTTTACCTTTTAACATGTAAGTAACTTTAGTTTTGCTATGCATAATGAATCAGAGTAAAACTAACCATCTTCCCACCCATAATGTTTGATTTTTCTTTTTCTTTTTTATAGGCACGTCAGATAATGCAGATATAAAGGGACAGAATCATGTTATGATTGTTCAAGCTGGAGTCGCTGTTAACTTAACATGTATTTTTCCAAAAGAGTCAAGAACCAGTGTGGTTTGGGTCAAACAAAGAGTTGGAGAGAAACCTCTTCTAATTGCTTCAGCATATCAAGGTTTAGCTGGCAAATATGAAAATGACTTTGACAAACAAAACCGCTTCTTTATAGAAAAAGATGAAGGTAGTTTTAATCTGAGCATCGCAAACACTGAAATATCAGACACTGCAACATACTATTGTGTTGCATATGTGTACGAGTTCATATTTGGGAACAGCACTGACCTCATTGTTAACGGTAAACAGAGCATTTACTTAAATGTTCTTCATTGAGTTCAGTCAAATGAGCATTTTGCTAATTTCTTTTTTTAGCTGGTAAACTGAACATCAAGTCTGAGCATCAGAGATCAGCATCAGAGGATCAGCAGTGCAGCGTCATCTCTCAGAGCTGTGCAGAAGAACACAAGGTCTACTGGTTCAGACAGGGCTCTGGAGAATCTTCCCCAGGAGTGATCTACACTCAGAACAGCAGGAGCGCTCAGTGTGAGAAGAGCTCTGATCTTAACTCCACTGCACACAAATGCATCTACAGCCTGCCCAAGACTGATGAAGATCCCGCCATCTACTACTGCGCTGTGGCTGCTTGTGGACAAATACTGTTTGGAGATGTGGTAACAATCCCAGGTGCACATAAACACAGCATTATTTTCATATTTACAGATCCTCTTTTGCTACTTTAAAACAATTCTGCATTTTTCCTCAAGGTTTTTGGACACTTTGGAAGACTGTTGCTCTGGCGTTGGCAATTTCAAACAGTTTATTAATGATTGTGATCATATTTCTGGGCATGCGGTTGTACAAGTTCCAAAAGAACGGTAGGAATTACTTCAGTACACCTTACTATCTGAACAGTTATTTCATGCACTAAAACCACTGTTTTGTGTTGTAATATTGTATTTCAAGACAGGACACAGAACATTCAGCTTGGTCAATTAATGGTGAGCATTTTAATGTTGAATGTTTAAAATAAAAATCTGATAACTATTTTTAAAACCATTGCTTGTAAAATGATTAGTTGACTTTAACAAATGCATTGCCTTAAAACTCAGAAAAATAAACTACAGTGCTCAGTATACTGTATTTGACTACACCCTATTTTGAAAATGAATAGTTTTATCTATTTCTCAGTGAATATAGGTAATATATTTGGGTGCATTTGAACAAAACAGATTTATTAAACAAATATATTTATTAAAACAATACTTTGGTCACCAAACATCTTTAGAAATAGAAAGATAATACATTTAACAACAAAAGTTCAACAAAAATGCATATATATATATATATATATATATATATATATATATATATATATATATATATATATATATATATATATATGCCTCTGATATAAAATAAATATCAGAGGCATTTATGATGTATATGATATAAAAATGCCTCTGATTGTGAGAGAAAGAAGGACCCCGATATAGTCTTGGAAAACCTTTTACAGAAATCTTGTTGTGCATGCTATCTTCATCTAATTTAAAATATTAACTCATGAGATGCTTGGCTCTCAAGAAGTTTTTATAGGACATTACATTCATGTTTCTCTGTGTTTGTCAATGAACAAAATCAAATATTGAACAGTACAATTGTTCTAATTACTTTTTTTATCATGAAACTTTCTAGACCACAGTAAAGCTCAAAGCATCTACTTAATTTTGTAGCTCACTGGGGTCAAGAACTGTTACTATTTAAAGTTAGGTAGGTGTGAATCACTATAATTGAGTGCTGGCTAACAGTTTTTATTTATTTATTTAATATTATTCCCTAAAATATACACTCAAAAATATATTTTTTGCCCCTTATTTAAAATGAGCTGAAACAGCACAATTCTTGGGATTTCATTGAGACTACTTAATTTATGTTCAATCCCAATAAATTTGTTAAAAGTGCTATAATAACTTAATCAATTTGTATTGGGACAATAGGAATGAATTGTGTGGAACCCTGCATTTTTTACAGTGTACATTTGGGCTACTAATGTTTTTAAACTGTTATTATAAGTAATTTTGTTAGATTAGCTCTAGAATTTGCTTCAGTTCTGACTAATATAATATATACTGCATGCACTGATATAATATTGTAAAGCATCCTAGAAAATATTAATTATAAAGAGATTTGTGAGGGGTGTTCTCATACATGCTGAGCACTGTATGTGCAGAATTATAAAAATGAAGTCTACTAACAGTTCCAAGTTGCAATGGGTTCACATACTTTTTAATTTAGGTCACAATTCATGCTATAGACCATTTTGAGGGATGTAAACAAAGACAGTGGTCCCATGTTTCCTGTTTTACATATTTAATTTCCATAGCTTCAGAAAATCTAAAAAGAGCCACATATTGATAAATAATGTTATGACAGCTGTTTTAACATAAGTTATGTTTCAATTGGCTCTTATTACAGTTATGAAATAGTTTGATAACAAGCAGGAAATGTTCATGGACCAATGACATGACCACATTGAAATGGTCTATTAACTACTAGCTTACTACCTGCCTAATATTAAAACATG